CTGCTCTCATCCATGCTAGGCTGCATGGATGCACAGGGAGTTCTTGCCCAGAACAGAACCATACCGCCAATCCAAACTGTATGCTAATTGTCAATCATCTTTGACGATAGTGGTCCTGACAGAAATGCATTTAGTATAAATGCACAAACGCTATAGCTTAATCACAAAAAAAAAATCACATTATTTAGAATTAATTTGTTTTTAATCTCCATTCATCTGGCCTTGTGGTGTGTTCATTTCGGAACCATTTAAACCGTTGGTGCACTGTTTACAGTTACGATGCATCAAGATATCTCTTTCACATGACGTCTCTTTTTTGATTCTCTCAATGGCTCGGAGATGTTCATCTATTGATGTCCGGCGTAATAGAGTGCTAACAGCTCAGCGTGATGAAGACTGAAATAAGATAAAGCCTCACCGAATGGGTTTTCACTCTATCACAGGATGAGTAATGTCTTTTCAACAGCACAGCTACTCCTACACACAAGCAGACCCATGAACTAATGCTGGCCACACCACAAATGAGGCCGGTTTTCATCCAGCGGTGATGTGTCACTTATTTGGTTGCCAAGGATTATTAATCACTACTTTTCATGATGTGTGAAGGTTCAAACGGAGTACGTGACCTGACTTGACACCAGTTTGTTTCAATATCCAATCAGACATCAGAGTTCATGACGACAGAAATCGTATTAATGTAAAGTGAATTTGCATTCCCAGCATGTGGTACATGCAGCCCTCATAGCCTGTTCGCCCTGATCACAGCAACATCTATGAGGTGTGATGTGAACGCTGCCCTGTTTTGTGTGTGTAGGTGTTAAATGAGATGATCTGGCCGTCTCAGTCTCCATCATCCACAGAAAAACCAAATCATCCTCCACGCGCCGCTGTGTCCTTGGGCTGTGCACGCTGATATGATGCAGAGTGTTTTTGTGTCCCTTTTTGTACAGTTAAATCTAAAATTTTCAAAGAGTCAGGGCAACATCAGCTGTATCCTGCAAAGCATGAGTGTGAATATTTTAAATGAAAGCTAACAGTGGGAGTGTGTTGCAGTGATTTGATTGCTTTTATTAAATGTCGGCATCACTAATACAATAAAAAAGGGTCCAATATGTTCATGTTATGGCCAATAGCTGATAAATGGCTAATGTTGAAATTCTATACTGTTTTGCCTTATAAAGTTTGTAAAACTACTTATTTCAGTGATTTATTTCAATTACATTTAACAGTGTTTTTAAAGATTGAGTGTTAGATAATGGCTGTAGCTGTCAAGCAATGACAAATTAATTACATGATGTGCCAATTAATCAAATCTCAATCTGAGATCACAAATCACATCTAATCGCAAATTAATCGCACATCAATTTGGGTTGAGAAATGGCCATCCAAAAGATGGTTCAGAAGTGGCCTGAATGCATTTACACTGCATTTAGAATTGTGTAATGCTGAGATTAACAGGTTTTAAATGGACATTAATGGGTTTTTAAAAATGTAATATTGAAATTATTTTTTTTTAATGAAATATGAAACTAAAACTGCCAGTAGTTGGTGGCAAGTCATTGTCTTCTTAAAGAGTGAGCCATTCGGTCATTCATTCAACCACTTCGTTCAAATGGCTGATTGATTTAGAAGCAAGTGACAGTCTTTATGAATGGCTCACTGAATCATTGGCTCACTTGATTCTTTTAAAAACATGGATTCATTCACTAAGGAAACACCACTACCACTGTGTGTTGCTGTTCAGAGATGTGTAACATTTCTGCTGTGGCTTTGGTTAGAACCATTTTCATTGGCGAAATTGAGCAAAAACAGAAAATACTCAATATTGTGTTGAAAAGTATTGAAATGTCAATAATGATTCAATACAAAAAAAAAATTAATGTTCAGAATTGAATCCAGTAACCAATATCATATGGATATATTGTGCATCCCTACAATTAAAGATACTAATGGACTGTGAGTTTACATGGATGTGTGTTCATATTTTACAACAGAAGAAAGTGGCTTATCCAATAAGATGAACCCAATAAGAACTGAGTCTGTTTTATGTTGATACTTTCATGATGAGATTTTATCATGCTGTGTTTATGACTTGGACAATTCAAATGTCCCATTTTACAGTTTTGTCCTTCTTGTCTTTTTGCTTGTCCTCTAGGGAGTGACATACTGTGGCGAGAGCTCAGCCAGTAGCCTGACAATGGCCAACGTACCCTGGCACGAGGAGGTCGTCTACTTTGTGCAGCAGCTTGCCAACCTGCTCCCAGACTATGAAATTGCCTGCGAACACGAGCACTCCAACTGTCTGTTACTTGCACACCACAAGGTAACCCTGACCAGACATGCTGTTCATAGCTGCTGTCCTACTCCTGCACTGCGTTTCATAGAAACGGAGCTCGTACTGTAATTTCCTTTTTTCGACTTAAACCACTTTTTAAAGCTGTTACAAATAAAGATACCACTGCCATTTCTGTAAATGTCATTGAAAAAGTGTTGATATGGGCACTTGCATTAAACTGCCATTCAGGTGAAGGGTTAAACCTTCCTTCCTGCATTTTTATGCTGTCTCCTGACACAGCGTTAGTCATTCTTACAGCCGCTCTTGTTTTACATTTGTTTATTGTGACAGTTTCTGTTATGGTTTGCGTGGGCAGTGAACCCTTACCAGCGCTCTTCTCTCACAAACAAAAAACATATTTATGTGCATGTATTATATGGTGCTTCAATATCCTTTTATGATTTGCTGTTTGTATTAGGAAATCAAGTACCATAAATTTCTGCATGTGATTCTATGGTGAATATTTCCATTCTAACACACAATGGGGCATTTCACTTACCCAAATAACATAAAGCCTTGTGTGTTTTCCCTGCTTAAAAACATCTGAAATCGGTCTTTTCAGATCCTCCCAGCCTCATCGGGTGTTCTTTGCTGGTTTTAGAGGGGTTTTGGGCACTTGCGAGCTGGCCAGACCTGCTTAGCCTGACTGGGAGACCAGCTTAAACCTGCTAAGACCGGCAGACCTTCATCATTTACTCACCCTCATTTCGTTCCAAACTGTATGACTTTTAGAAAGATAATCTGAAGCTGCTTTTGTTAATATAGGGTCCAAAATCTTTCAACAATAAATGGTATAAAAATTAATCAATACAATTTAACTTTTGAAGCGGCACAATCTCTTTGTATGATGAACAGATCGAAATATACAGATCGAAATAAACAAATACACACACAGTTCTTCAAATATGGGTATGTTTTCTTTTAATAATCGCTGACAACAAGTCATGTACTCATGATGCCCGCACTCATTTTTTACTCTGTTGATACCCTTGACAAAGTTTTTAATCAAGTTGATCCAAATTTAGTTTTAAAATGGCTCTGAAATACCTTTTAGTTCTGTTTTAACTTGCAATACCTCAAGCATGGTTTTCTCTATGAAAATAACTAAACAAGCCAGCATGGCATTAAAACCAGAACCAGGCAAGGTTTGATGTTAGTACATGGATTCATTTAACGAGGCCTTTATGTCCTTTTTGGAGTGTGAATGAACCCCACTGACTTTAATAATATAGGAAAAATATCTGAAACATTGTTCAAAATATAATCTTTGTTTGTGTTTCATGAGGGTAAATAAATGTTAGAATTTTAATTTTCTTGTGCTTTTTTTTTCTTTTTCATTTTTTTTTTGGACTTGGAAAACATCTTTCACTCCATATCTGACCCAGTTAACTCCATATTGTGCTTTGAAGTGCTGTTATGGAACAATTCTAATTTTACATCATTTTTGACACCCTCCTGAACTTTATTTTTCTTGCAATAACTGATATCTTATACTGCTCTAGACATATCTTGTCCTTCCATTTCCATGCTTTTTACTTCCTTTTTAACATGTTCCTTGCTTATTAGCTTAATTTCTAAATATCCCATTAATTAATTCAGTTTCTTTCTCTCTTCAGGCGAAGAGAGCTCTCTTACATGCAGTAAGGAACTGTAATTGCATGTGTCCACCTGTTTGCATTTTTTTAAAACCCCTCCATTCATATCTTGTCTCATCATGCAGAGCTACAAACACGCCGGCTGTAAATGAGCTGCAGTAGTGGAGAGTCGTAATCATTGTGAGTGCCCAGAGCAACCTCCACTCAAGCCCACACAGGCATGAGAAGGTGCTCGGTCCTCCACTGCCTTACCATCAAGTGTTTGGAAACAAAGCAAAGAGGTTTGTTGGTGGGCAGCTTAAGGAGGCTGGGTGTGAGACCTATGAAGATAGGGTGCCAATTCAGTAATAACGACAACAAAAAAACGAATGAAGGACTTTTCACATGCGTGGGGTTTGTTGGACGAAGATTTTTGCCGTGTTGAGCAGCTCTTAGGCCTCCTCACACCATTATGAACCAATTATATTATAGTTAGATACATGATGTCACTCCTTGTGGGCGGGGCTGCATCTCATGATTCACTGAGGAAGATGCTTTAGGGTGTAATGTGAACACTTCAAAAGCAAACCCCCATTGTATCCAAATGATTCTGACTTCTTTGCAGTCTTCAGCAGTCATACCGTCTTGCTTCTGAAATGACACTGAGATAAAGCCAGTCCCCAGCACTCAAGCACTGAGCTGCTTTGCCTTCCTCTGCAAGGGTTTTGTCCCTGCCGTATGCATGTTAAAGAGCTGTCTTTGCATTGCCTGTGACAGACGTCTAAATGAAAAGGCATTGAATTTGATGTGAAAATTCATTCCTCACTACGTCACCACCGACCGCACAGGGACTCTCTCTCAACTTGTTCAGCTCAGCTGTGACTCACGAGGGTGCTAAAAAGGCCCATTGTCCCTGTACTAAGAAGCCATTTTTCACATGGGACCTTGGAAGGCCACTATCAGTATTTCATTGCATTGACTTTGTTTAGCTGGCGCATTCATTTTTTTATTATTTCAGGGTTGCAAACATTTGCCCTTTATCCGTGGTGTTCTTGACGAGGTAAGACCCTCTGAATGAATTTACAGCTCTTCACTGTGTGGAGCTGACAGTTTATATTCTCATGAAGTTAGTGCGCTGTGTCCTCATAAAGCTCTGCCTCTCTCTCCATGTTCTGAACTGAAGGAAGGAAATTAAAGCATGTAAAGTAGGGTTAAATGAGGATTTAAATCCATCAAGAGTTTTACAAGTAGAAGAAGCTTGATTTTCTAAAATGTCCTGTGATATTCTGGTCAGTAGATATGAATGTGGTCCTTTTGATGTAAGTCTTTGGGATATTTTCTCCATTTTATCATCCTGATCATTTAAAAAAGTAATAGCACATCTCTATTCAGCAAGCAGAACAGTTTAATTATTCACAAACTGTGCAGGGCAAGTTATGCACCAAAGTTTAATACTTCATTTAATACTTAAGGTTTACTTACAGTCCTAAATATGAGCAATAGTAATAGAGATGCTTGCCTTAGTAATGTAGCCTTGAAGCATGTTGCATTTTTCAAAAAGCCTTAGCTGGCCTTATGAACATTCATTAATTCGTAAACAAGATTACCCATTTAAACTTTAAAGTCCCAATAGTTTCTCAGTGACTACACCAGACTGAAGAAGCCCCACAGCACACCGTACAGACAAGAGCATCATTAATTTTGGGGGATGTTCATAGTGTTTAGGGAATGAAAGAGGGGCTGCAATCTGTGTTTGGTGATGTGCTGTCCCAAAACCACATTTACATAGTGACTTAATATGTTTAGTGCTCCCAGTTAGCTGCGCAGAAGCAATTTTGCAAATGAATGAAGCCTTAAAGTGCACTCTCTCAATGCATGGCCATCTGTTGGAAGGGCAGATGTGAATAGTCTTGCACTCCGAAAATAAAAGGGCTGCCAGTTTCACTCTCTTACATGGCATCTAAAGTTCAGTATTCCTGTCTATTTTCTCCATTTTGGACTCTACTTAAGGAAGCCAGTTTGAAACTATAGCTTGCCAAGTTAGAAGTTCATAATTTATAGTTCAGCTGCCCTTTGTGTTATTTATCTGGCAACAAATAAATGAGGATATTGATTAAGGTTACAGCTTCAAACCTAATGTATTGATTATGCTATGTTAATTATATCAATTATCAACCATTTTTATCTTATTGGACAATATTGGGAATTTAAGTTGTCTCATACTGTACATTTATATTGTAGTGATGCCTAAATACATTTGTAGCATTTAAAATGGTTGACTTTGGCACACGAAAACCCAGTTTGTTTATTTGTTGCTTTTTTTCCATTAAAGTGAACTGCCCTTGTGAAAGATAACTCGACTTAATGCTATTTTTAGTTACTTCCCAACACCTTGCTTCCTAATGTGAGTAATATAGGAGAACGCTGAGCCAAACTGCATGTGTGTAAGATTGACAAGGAGGGGAAGAGATCTTTAAAGCGGTTGGGGATGTATCCGTGGCCTTCCCGGAGAGACTAGTTGGGCCCCATGGGAGCCTTCATCTTCTGACTGCTGAGTATCTGTGAGAAGGCTATAGAGTGATTCACCTCAGCAAATTACTATGAAATAAGAACATGCAGCCGAGGAAGAAGGTTCCCCAGAGGATGCAAACTGCTTAAGGCCTTACAGACTGACTGCAGAGATAGCTTTTGAGGCTGCCTCTAGGAAGCTTCAGGTAAGCAGCTAAACAGAGGTAATATGACACGAGGACAAAGATCACATTCTTGGCACTGCACTAAGAGGAAATGGTGGCCTTGGCATTTTCAGTAGTGGGAAAGTATGCATGCTTCTCAGTTGTGGTGCACGTGACCAGGTTGTCTTTGAGGCAGCAGGCATCTTTCAGCAAGTTGGACAGTGGTTGTCCTCAAGAGAGCCTGCAGTGGTCTGATCCTCTCTTGACAGCTTTGTTAGCTTGGACAGAGTTTGTCCTTGGATACTTGCAATACTCTTCAGGAACTGTCCAAACAAGATGCCTTATTCCAAGTCATTGTTTTTCAGCTCTTGTGGTTCCTCAAGTCTTGACTTGAAAGCATGCTTCCCTTGAAAGAGTTATACTTGCTTTCAAGACTTGACTTTCACTCTGAAATGCTTTTCCCTGGACCCTAGTCTCCAGCAACCCAATCAGGCACCTCAGCAATGTCTTCAGAGCAAAATATACTACAGCTGAATTGATTTTGTGGCCATGAGGAGGTCTTGGAAAGAACGGGCATGTCAAAAGATGGGAGGAACAGGAGTCTGGTGCCTATAGCTGATTGCATCACCATGCTGAGCATGGATCACCGCATCTCATCAGTGCAGTGTGAAATGTAATCAGTGCAGCTCCCCACTAGGATTCTTTATGCCTGTGTGTCGGAGAATGGTCTAGAGGTGCTGATGGAAATTGATTAAATGTATAGGGTGGGAAAACAAGCAGAACTAAGCTGTGCCTACACCCTCACATAGAACCAAAGCTTGAGAGTCAAGATTGGGTAAGATTGATTGAAACAGAAGGTTTGCTTGAAGGGACCGGATGGAGACCACAGGTCCTGCATCTCAACTCAATGTGCAAGTTTGTGAGTTATACATATAGCACATCACAGGCTGCTCCCCAAATGACAATCTTGATGTGGACCCTGCCACCTTCTGCACTTGTCATGAAGATTGTATCCCATTTGATATCCTGTGATTCCGAAGGGTGCTGGAGAGTGCCTAGTTTGCGGCTTCACTCTTGATGTACCGGCATTTCAAGAATGAACTTGAAAGAGGACTTCAAGGACTGAGGATGTCATTTGAGACGGGGCTGCAAATGTCTTTTTAATTAAAGGGGTCCTATTATGCTTTTTCACTTTTTCAACTTTAGTTAGTCTGTAATGTTGCTGTTTGAGCATAAAAAAGATCTGAAAAGTTACAAAGCTCAAAGTCCACTTCAAAAGGAGATATTTTATTTAACAGAAATCACTTTTCAAAAACTACAACGAACGAATCGTTTGGACTACAACGCATATTTTCCGGGATTTGTGATATCACAAATATCAACAAATGGGACAAGACCTGGTTGAGCTGCAGTAGAGAAGGCAACGAGTGTTATCACTATGTCGGAGACACGCTAGCTTTCCCAAGGCAGACGAACTTAAGAGTGGTTATAATCATCCGGTTTAAATCGTGCTCAAATTGATTTGATTTTGACGCAATATTTACACTGAAGCTCACAGGCGGCTATGGAAAGGGGCGACAATCTTGATGTGGACCCTGCCACCTTCTGCACTTGTCATGAAGATTGTATCCCATTTGATATCCTGTGATTCCGAAGGGTGCTGGAGAGTGCCTAGTTTGCGGCTTCACTCTTGATGTACCGGCATTTCAAGAATGAACTTGAAAGAGGACTTCAAGGACTGAGGATGTCATTTGAGACGGGGCTGCAAATGTCTTTTTAATTAAAGGGGTCCTATTATGCTTTTTCACTTTTTCAACTTTAGTTAGTCTGTAATGTTGCTGTTTGAGCATAAAAAAGATCTGAAAAGTTACAAAGCTCAAAGTCCACTTCAAAAGGAGATATTTTATTTAACAGAAATCACTTTTCAAAAACTACAACGAACGAATCGTTTGGACTACAACGCATATTTTCCGGGATTTGTGATATCACAAATATCAACAAATGGGACAAGACCTGGTTGAGCTGCAGTAGAGAAGGCAACGAGTGTTATCACTATGTCGGAGACACGCTAGCTTTCCCAAGGCAGACGAACTTAAGAGTGGTTATAATCATCCGGTTTAAATCGTGCTCAAATTGATTTGATTTTGACGCAATATTTACACTGAAGCTCACAGGCGGCTATGGTAAGGGGCGTGACTTCCCGACCAGGCGCCGAGTGGCGCCAATCACAACACACACTGGCCCAGCTAACCAATCACAGCACATTTCGTATTTCAGAAGGCGGGCCTTCGGAACTATTCGAGGCGTTCATGCCAGACTGAGGAGAGAGGTGTTGTAATAATGTAAAATATGTGAAAAATAACAACCTAGTATGAGAGCCTGTTCTAGTACACCCCCTAAAACAAAATCAAGACTTTGCAAAAGAGCATAATAGGACCCCTTTAAAGACTACCATCTCCGAAAGCAACTTCCTTTGCCCACTATCTCTGGTTCGCACCTGCCCTGGTGTTCAGTAGCAAAGCTTTGCCCAGTTGGCAGTGTACATGGCATGGGAAACACCATCAGACCTCATTAGTCAAAGTGAACACCTGTCAGCCTGGTAGACTCACTCCAATCTTCACCTGCGTGTCCATTTTTGTGTGTGTTATTTATCACAGTGCTCTATCACCTGCTGTCTTTCTTACCTCTTTTCTTCCTTGTGTCTCTGCAGTTCAAAGTCGACAGGGAGTGGTGGACGTGGATTGACTACGAACGCTTCCAGGAGCTCATTCAGGAATACGAGGAGAGTGGAGGCACCAAGAGCTTCTCAGCGATGGACTATATGGCCAAGACCCCCAGCTGGGCCATTTTTGGGGCCCAAGAAAGGGGATTTGACCCCTCGGACACACGCTTCCAGAGAAAGAATAAAACCAAAGATATCTCAGGGTGTTGATGTTACTTTTGCCATCCTACTTTAAGTCTTTAGAGTAATTTGTATTTTTAATGAATGGAATAGATGACCTGATTGACCCGAGATTAAAACTTATTTTTGTTATTTTAGCCAAGGCACAGTTTGCTCTCCAAGACTTGCCCTAGGGATGAAATTCTGGTTAGCATATTCTTACAGATACTTGATAACTCTTTTTTTTCATGCTGTTTTAATGAGTGTTAGCTGCTGTCTTTAGTTATGGTCACAGTAATAAAGAATTTAATTTCCAAGTCCTGTTCACTCTGAGCTCTGGATGTAATAGCTCTGGTAAGAATACTGACAGGAGGACAGAACTGAAGAACAAGTGACTTGAATTTAAGGCTTCATTTACCCATACCACCTTAGGGCCTAAATTTAAAGCGCACAAGAGGAAAGAACTGCAAAAGAAAAATATCACTATAGTTAGCTACGTTAATATCATGTCACCTCAAACTGTGATTTGTGTGTTCTTTTAGACGTTTAGAGGGCAGTTGAGTCAGATGGGACTTTGAATGGAGTGGCCCATGATACAGCTGAAAGCTATTTGGAATCAGAACTGCCCCATAAATATCTCTGTAACAACCACTCAAGACATTGAAATGTGAAATTGCAGTTCTTACCTTTTGCATTGTCTTATGCTGTTGTCTATGTTTTTGTCTTGGGTATTTCTACACAACGTTGATGGATTACAAATGTCACTACATGCGTTTGTTTTTTGCATGTATTATTTTATCATTCTTTGCCTTTTTGTGTCTTGCAAAATGTTATAATGCAGTTATGAACCTGATGTTTGTCCTTGATTGGGTTACACTGATATTGTAAATACACCCAAAAGGTATCTACAAACTGCATTTGTTATTCATGCACATCCAGGTACGTTGCAAATGAAATTGAGTTTTGTCGTAGCTGCTTTTTTGGCGTCTTATTAAAACTTTTTGCTGTTCTACAGGGGTTTGAATGTTATTGTAAGAGAAGGGAATGTGCTTGGTACTGAGTGAACTAGGTCACAGCCGTTTCATAGCTCTGAATGAAGCTGAAATCTTTGGTCTTGAGTAACAGATGAGAGGCGTAATATTAAGACCAGACTCAGAGTTCCCCGCTTTCTGTCCCTCTGTTCAAAGTAAAGAGTCAACTGGTAATGCTCCGTTTATCTGTAGTCAAATTGGGATATTTCTACTTTACTTGCATATATAAATGTGAAAGTATTTTTTCTCGGCTCCACCCTTTTATTACGCTTTGATGTAATGCATGGCTAACAATAGCTGCAATCCTATTCTTTAAGTTCACATTGACTTCTCCTGTCTCTCGATTCTGACAAGTTAGCAAAAGTTGGTGTCCACTGAGAGCACTTACAACTGAAAGTTCACCGGATTTATCAGAATGTTTAAACTGCACTTTTGATCCCAGCCTCTAAAGTGCCTTGTCTCCTAGTTGTTTAAACATAACAGAAACAGAGCGATGTGTAATGGTCTGTGACAAGTGACAGAAAAGCTATTTCACACCGCTGTGAAAAGGTGCCGTGCTGATCTAGGCTAATGTGACACACTGTCTTCCTCATGCATTTTAGTCAGTTTAGCCACCCGAAGGGAATTCACCACCCAAATACACTCTTTTTGTGGTCCATGAGAGCATTTTATTCTGAATTTAATTGGATTATGTCTGTGAAGTCTGTTGATTTGGACTGTCATCCCTTCTTAGTGTACAGTATATCAGGTAAGTTCCTTTGATGAAGTGCTTTAAGGTATTTTTGGTTTAAAGGCTTAGAATAGCATAGTCTCTTCAGTATACATGTACCGTATGTGTGCAGTATGCATAGTACACATTGTTTTGTTGGATTATATACAGTATATATATATATATAGTGTTTTTGTGGAATTTGGAATTATTCAAGTACATGTTCTTTTTATGTGCCTCAACAAATCTTTAATTTCTCACAGTGTCTATCTCAACCTCTGTTACTAATGGGTTTCGCCGTCATGAGTTCTCTCGGCTATACCACCCTAAACCTCCGTCCCTCGAATGGGTTTCACAGAGCGAGGGATAAGAGAACGAGCTGTACTGGAACAGCATGAGCCTCCAGTCTCATTACCTCTGTCTCAGCTTCTGTTTTAAGCCTCAAGTTTTCTGTCCTCTGAATGTTTTTAAGGGACTGAAACCCAAGATCCTGTGCGTAATGGGAGAAATTATTTATATGGACAGTAGGCTTATTTTTTTTTACAAGCGAGCAAAGAAAATGGCTTTAAGCTGACAATGTGTTTTGATGTGTTGTCATAACAAGTGGATGAACCAACAACTCAATTGACAGCTCAAAGGCACATGGAAGATATGAGGCACAAATTCAAGGGCTTTTTGGCCCTTTCATCAAATAGCTTGTCATTGGAACTCGATATCAAGTGAAAATGTTTCATAGGTTCTGTCACAACTTTGATTGTCTCATAGATGTGCACACTAAAAGTCTTGCACTGCAAAATGGCAACAATCTGGACCTTTTTGGTCCCAGAATATTTAGAAAGTTAAAAGATAAAAGGACGACAAGCAGTTTTTTTTAGTTGTTTTAGTCTTTTTTTCTTGAATATGACAAAGAAATATTGTCTAATTGGCTCCTTATATAACTATGATGTTGTGAAGTCTTTTAGTTTATGTTTTCGTTTGTCTGTGACCCTACAGTATTTTAAAATGTCTTGGTGCATTCCTGAATTTTTTACAATCATAATATTTTGTCCAACAGTATGTTTAATTATCCGATATTAAAAATAATAATAATAAACTGAACCAACTCTGAAAAAACAGTTTAACATGGTTAAACACCATTGCCAACTGTTATTTAGTCGACTAGGCAAGCTTGTCTTGTAGTGTGCACTAGTGATTGTTGGGTCTAGGGATTGGACTGTTTGACAGGTATGTTGTTCCAGGACCAACAAAAGATGCTGATCCAGGAACATGTCCTACTTGGCATTATCACAGCCATCACCGCTGCTTTTCTACCTTTCTCTTAATCCAACACTAACCCACTGCCTTAACAACTGAGGCAGGAGCCAATAGCAGCTCTGTTTTGTTGCTGAGAGGCACAATGCTCTGGGCTTCTTGTCAAACAGACAGATTTCGCTGGAGCCAAACTGAGCTGTCCTCAGCCAAAAAGGAAGTTGCTTAAAATGACAGCACCAGCTCTCAAAGCTCTCACCTACTACTACAGATTCACTCTGAGACGCAAGTGGAGACCCTAACAGAATATGCTTCTGTTTGCTTTCTTCCAGAATATTAAATTCATCTTTATAACTTCTGATGCTTTTAATTATTGTTTGCTTTCCGTAAGAGCAACATCAATACCGTGATAGGAGAGTAATCTCTACTTATTCCCTAATTAACTGATGTGAGTCAATTAACTTCACGGCTGCGAGGAACACAGCTTTGTCTGGCATATGGATGTTTATTTGCTGGAAGATTTGCATTTTAATTAAAAATCAGCTTAATATATTTATCACACAAAGTAAATCACAATGTATCCCACATATTGCACATTATACATCTTAATGCCTATAAACAAAATGCCAAGTGCGTACATGCATGGGTGTCTGGGATCCATTACTGGCCGTAGGTTAATTATATGGCAACCTCTGGTCTTCTTGCCATCACAGGGGTCCTGACCGGTGAAAGAGGGCTAATAATATATGTGAATGACTAAGGATATACACAACATCACTGCCTGTGCACACTGTAAAAATAGCCTGCAGGCACAAGGCCAGCTCACAGCGCTTAGTCATGAAACAGCATAAACAACAGCACAGTCTTATAACTAAATAAAAATTATGGTACTACAGTTTGTTCTGTTCAGTAGTTTTCTGTTCTGCTCTTTTTTGTTTAGTTTAGTTTTTTATTTGTTTTGACCTGACATGGATATTTGGACATTGTACTATGGCAATGCAGTGTTTTTATTTTATTTATTTATTTTTTAATTACATTCTTTGAAGTGCTTCAGAGTAAATACATGAATATGATAATATCCAGAATGAACCTGCTAACCTTTGGATAACTTAAGCAGTGCTTAATGTTTGAAGTTTTCTCACACCCTTTGCTTATGGTTTCATTCCTTTTCTCAAGATGTTGCTGAGACAGAGATTGTGAAGTTTGATGTTGATTACAGACCTTGTGTAGAGACTGGCGTCTTTTCACAGTGCCTGGGAATCCTTAAAGTAACAGTTCACCTCAATACAGTCACAGTGATTCTTGAGTTAAGTGGTAATTTGGTCTGTTACTCACACAAATCTATTGTATGATTTGAGTTATAGGGTCATATGGAGTACTTTTATGTTTTTATGGTACTTCTGTGGTCTTTTGGAAGATTAAAAGCCTCTCTCTCTGTTTACTATAATTGCATGGATTGACCAGACTTCAGGATTTCTCCTTTTGTGCCCCACAGAAGAAAAAAGTCAAGGTAAATAATGACAAAAGTTTTCATTTTTGGATGAACTGTTTCTTTAGGAACGTCTGAATATGCTAGCATTTGGAAATGTAGCTGCTCTTAGGGCAGAGAGGGACAGCTTGATGCCAGTTGACACAGTGTCACACCTAAATGTGTCCTCATGCGCCACAGGGTCTCTTGTCAGTGTATAGCTGACTCACACACAGCCTGTCCTGAATAAAGTCCTTCACTTCTTGCACCATTCTCGGCCTGAATTTTTTGTTAATGATCTTGTAACTGAATGTAAATAATTACCCATTTACCTACATAAATCACAACCTTTGCTTTTAATAAAAAGGTATCTGTGTTTCTGTCGATATCAGTGATTATTGTTGGCCTTGATGCTTCATATAGAATGGAAAAGAAAGCTAACTAACATCTCCCATCCCTAACTCAGTTTTTGGGGTTATTCTGTTAAAATGACCTTGTTTTAACAAAGATACAGTGTGTCTTTAACGCGTGTTGACACACACAGCGAGAGACCAGTAAAGCCTCAGTGAGCAGAGCGCCAGCTATTAACCAATGTGTAATGGAGAGCTCAGAGACACACCTGTGTGTCATTTATCTTCTCTTCAGCCCACCACATGCCATATTCCATCCATACTTCAGACTTCCTTCCCTCGCAAATATTTTTATCCCTCAAATCCTTCTTAATAATACAATTTCCCTGTGAAAATGCAACATATTCCACCTGGTTGCCTTTAATTTAGCAAGGTATTAGCTTTGCATTGTTGGATTCAGCTGTGCTGTCATGAGTTTTGGGTGGCTGTGCATGAACAGTATGAGGAACTGGGTCAGTACTGGTTAATTTAAAGGGATAGTTCATCCAAAAATGAAAATTGAGCCATTTACTCATCCTATTGTCTTTCCAGACCTGTATGATTTTTGGTCCCCATTCATTTTCGTTGTATGGAAAAGAGCAGCACGGACACTATTCAAAATATCTCCTTTTTTATTCCTAAGTATATTATGGCAAAGCTCTATGTATAAAGTTTAATATATAGTATATTCAACTTTATTTGCATACAGTATACTCACTTAAAGCGATATTTACAATTTAGCAAAAATCAACTGCTTGATTGTAGCAACTATATTGCACAGCTCTATATCTATTATGTATGTATATGTATATATATATATATATATATATATATATATATTAGCAATATTTGCTCTTTAGCTAATATCAACCGCTTGATTGTCACAAAATGTTATCGCACAACTCTTTATAATGGATATACAGTGGGTACGTAAAGTATTCAGACCCCCTTAAATTTTTCACTCTTTGTTATATTGCAGCCATTTGCTAAAATCATTTAAGTTAATTTTCAACTTTATCTGCATAGGCCTACAGTATACCGCACATAAAGCAATGTTTACTATATAGCAAATCTCAATGGCTTGATTGTTTATATTGTTGAAAAATGCGAACTATATTTTCGCCCAGATCTGCCAAATGCGACTGTAAGGCATTAAGATATTA